AAGAAATTACACAGAATACCAGCCTTGTGCCACATAAACCATACAGTAAATGCCCAGAAGAGGTAAAGGACAGTATTCTGTGAATGCGGGGAACAATGATGTGTGGGGGTGCGGAAGTCAGAGAAAAGAACTCTTGCCTGTTGCCAGATGAGGTGGTGTTGTTGAGTGTGTATCCAGGGCTACAGCTGCTGTCTCCGTTCGCTACTAGTTGAGGAGATACTAGCTGATGAGTTTGAGGAGAGTTTTGGGGAGGTAGTGAAATTCTGGATGGGGTTGTACTGGATCTGGTGAGGAGAAGCAAAAGCATGTGTCCAGAAAAGCACTTTTTTTTATAAGTTAACTAAAGATTTCAATGTTGTGTAAACTTTGTTGTATATTTAGCTAAATGCTGTAATAACTCTATCATAGGATATGGCATATCTTTTACTGAATGAAAAAAAAACAATACCAGGGTATGTCTTACTTGGGATGAGAGGCTTGTCTGGGCCACGTGCCATCCTCATTCTTGGCGCTAATCACAAGCACCTGTGGGAAAACAAAACTAAGTGAGAGCCAAGCTGGCACAACTGACATTCATGTGCTATTGCATCCTATGTTTGAATTTGATACTATACATGTACCAAATACTACCAAGCTTCGGCAGCTGCAGATGAAACCGTCAAATGCACTTTGATGTGAAAATAATCTATTTTTGACTTTTTTCCTAAGAAACTGTATTGACCTCTAATTTACTTTTTTCAGGACTGATATGGAGTACAGTAGCTGCTGTGGTAAATAGTGATTTTGTTAAATGCCTTCATCAGTGCAACACCTTACTATAAAAATACAGGGGGTGCAAATGACATACTGCATTTGTGCTGTGTGAAGATTCTTTCTCCTTCCTACACACAGCCCAAACCCCTGATTTATGTAAAGGGAACAAAATATTTATAATACCTTACATTACCTTAGAATACAACATCATTATAAGCTTCAGACAGTTGAACTGTAACCTGACCTTTCTGGCACGTCTCAATAAGAAACTACACATAAACTTTACCAATGTATATGTGTTTTATTGCTGGGCTAATATCCTGTATTGCATTAGACCATCTGTTATTATGTACAATGTCTGTAAATTAATTTGTATGCTCAGTGAGTACAGTATGTTACTGGGCTGTGGAGTTCTTTCAAAGAAATGAGGAAGAAAATCTATCATGATCTGAAGGTTATTTAAATAACAAATCTCTACAGTACCTGCCCCTGGAAGAGACCAGCATCCTGTACAGTGCTGTCTGGCTTGTTCAGTTGCTCGTAGGTGTTGCTCATGTATTTGTTCCAGAGCCGAGTCTCCTTCTCTGATGGATATTGAACAGTGTCCTCATCTCCTTCCTACTGTATCTGGGGAAGAAGATTTTGCAAGACTTGCTTATTATCTTTCCTGCTTTTTTTGACACAACACACATTTAATGAATGACAATGTATAGAAATTTCCAGAGCTTTGGGAATCAGCTATTCGGTCATTTTCAAAGCAAAGTTGACTTGGCCGTTCATGTAAACCCTCACCTATAGTATCAGCTTTACTGAAATGACGTGTGACCACATTGTCCATGTTGTCATTCTCACACAAATTCAGCTCCAGCAGATAAGACCTCCACCTTACAGTGCTTGAACAACATGCCGTGTTCAACCACACTAAAGAAGAGAGAAGACATTTAGGAGCCACATCTATAAGTGAATGGTTGAAATGAAAAATATCTTCAACAGATTTACTCCCTGACGATGGGTCTCTGACCCTCCAAGGCAGCCGTACCAGCTGACAAGCTTATTCCATGCTTCAGTGGGTACAAGGACATAGTCCAGCTCATCTATAAGGTGCTCTTTCAGGGCTTGAGTATCCTGGTCTTTATGGAAAAAATAAAATGTTGACTACAGGCTGAAAAAACAGCTCTTTTCATCTCTATGTGTTATTGATGTTGTTCTCAAAAGTAAAAACCAATATTCTTTAAAAGGGCAGTTTTACCTGAGAACAACCGGAGTTATCAATTGGTCCTGGATAGAGGCTACGTCTCCCAACATTGTACATGTCCAGCTGTCAAATCCCACATACTTCTTCCATTGTTTGAACCACCGGCTGTCTATTAGATACCTAAAACAAATTGTTTGGTAACAGTGAATGCCAAACACATGACATTTTTGATCATTGGTCCTGAACCTTTAAAATTTATTTTTATTAGGATTTGTGGTCACCTGATATATGCAGGATATCAAGCAAGGACACAAAGGGGTCAAAAGATGATAAAATGTATGGGGTTTGGAGAGACACTGCACTCAGGCTTATGCCAACTCAGAACATTATGCAACACCAAACTGCCTTGGCATTTGCAGATATATGTAACAGCAAGCTAGTTTGACTTAATCTCATCACAAGTGAGAATCTCCTTTGGTTAACAGGCTTGTTAACAGTATAGATATAGTAAGAGTTTGGTCATGGAACTCTGTTTTGTGCATTTCACAGTCACAGCAACAAATTAGAGATGTCTCAGTCAACGTAAGGTATATGATCTTTGCCCTTTAACCTGATCTAATTTCCCCTAGCTGTGCAACAGTGTAAATGTATTTGTGAAAAACCATACATTTTCAGGCCTGAATACTACGGGATGGTAGTTCATTTTTAACAGTAGCATAAATATACTATAAACAGTTCCTTACTAATTTAAACCTATTTGAACATGTTAGCTAAGCAGCTAGTTGCTGACAGACATGATAACTGTGGCTGGTTCCTCCCTTGATACCAATTTGTATCAAAACAAAGAAGGCAACTGAAATGATACTTTATAATTAGTTTTTTGAATGCGGTAGTATATACATGGTGAGGTGAAGTCTGTTAAATACAACTGGCTTCATTATGCCCAGGCTCGATGGTGTTAGATCTTAAACAGTTTTAGCTAACACTGGTTGCTGGCCAATTAAAAAACCCGTCAAACAACTTCAACTAGCATGTCACTACAAGTAGGTACCAACATGGCATAATAAATTCCTGTCATCGGGCCCGGGTCCTGACCACTAATCTACAAATGAGCCGGTCTGACCGGTAGAAGAATCCCCCTCCTGAATCCAGGGCCTTATTCTACCAGCCGACTATCCACCACATCAGCCAACGTCAGCTAACTTGTCACAAAACAGGCAAACGTTTAAGTACTGTGCAAATGAGCTACTTAGTTAGCCATATTAGTCTTGATGTTTACGCCCAACATTAATAGCCGTTGCTACAGGCACCAATCTTAACAGAGAAAATTATAAAGCTGGACTGGAACTAGTCCAGTTAGCAACTAGCATGCTAACTTGTTAAACATTAGCTGGCCAGTATCACTACCACAGAAGCTTTCGTTTTCAGACTTGCAACCATCGGTGCATTAGCTTGCTAGCTTTAGCATGTTAGCATTTCCTGTTCCTCCCTAGCTAACGCTAGCTAGCTAACGCTAGCTGAGACACCCAGGTAACGCTGGCCGTTTCAGATTCTTACCATTCGTCGCCCTTTCGTAGAGTTGTTTTCAAAAGTGACCCAATTGTCTGTTTTTGACTTTCGGTTGAAGGGCTGGCATTGTGGGCGCTACCGGTCCCGAGTCGGAGTCTGCCGCGCCACCCGACTCGGGTCCGCCTCCCTCGGCCATCATGCAGCGAATGTGCCGGTATCGGGAACGCGCGGAGGGAAGGGACGCCTTGGGCGAGCTTCAGAGCGGCGCTGCTCATGGGAAACGTTCTTCCTCTACAGATCGGTACACAGTGGACCAGAGGTGCTTTTGCACTCCAGTGTGGCTGTTCTGTCATCACCCTCGGCAAACCAGCCAGTCACAGGAACCCAGGCGGTGATGGTAGTAGTGTTAACCAAAAAGGTTTGTGTACCAACAACTCTACATAAACACCGTGTATTGTTGTGACCATTGAGAGTTTTCCGGGGCATCAACAAAGCTCATCACTGACTTTTCCTTTGTAAAAAGACGACATGAGGGCTGACTTAAACATTAGTCAATTTCCCGTCTGCATGTTATTTGTGTATTTGTGTTTGTGTGTGTAGATATATATATATATATATTATAACCGTATATATACTGTATATATATATATATATATATATATATATATATATATATATATATATATATATATATATATATATATATATATATATATATATATATATATATATATATATAATATATATATATATATATATATATATATAATATATATATATATATACTGGTGTTATATATATATATATATATGTGTTGGGGGTGTATTGCAACAAATCAAACTGGGTATTTAGTCAAAACAGGCTTTATACTGTACAAAACACAGGGGAGTTACATTAAAAAATAAACTGTCTACATACTTCAAAAACAATATTTCAATCACACAAACATTTACTCAAAAATTAATTCTTGGTCTAGTTCCAACTTTAGGGCAGGTGATGCAGAACAGCTCTATCTATGATCTAACTAACAAGTTTTTTATGATTGTTAAACTTTAATTAAACATCATTCTCACCTGTGAAATGGTACTGTGTTCTAGTTGTTTAACATGACTGTACATGTGAAAATGGAGACAGCTAATCTAGCTGTGTATAACACAAGACAAAAGAAGCACTAGGTAGTTCACGTTTTATAACCTAACAGCATTATGATGGCATACAGTTGAAAGCTAGTAATAATGCATTTCAATAAGCAAAAAGCAACTTTGTTTCTCCCAAACATCTCCTTGTTTCAAAGGTGAAAAAACAAAGCAGTGCTTTCCAGTATGCATGAAACAGCAACAGAACCAGTGTATTTGAAGTCATTTCAGATATTTTATGGAAAGGAATGAAAAGGTAATACATGTGGAAAGACGAGGACCACAAATAAGTGACTGTAAACTTTGCATAACATGGAGGGATTTGTCCCATCTCTGTGTTCAAAATTCAAATTGAAGGCTCCAATAGGCCAAGAAGAAGTGACCAGGCCATTAGAAGATACCACTTGGCAGCTCCTTGCTAAACATGCCATCGAAGTCCAGCTCCCTGCTCATCAGATCCTCCTCTACACTCTCCAGTGCCCACTGATGGTCAGTCAGCTCCAGTGCCTCCCATTCAGCCTGAGATCAAGGACAAACATCACATGAACAACTGAGTAAAGCACACCCTCATTAACTAATCATGGGACACTTATATATACCTTGAAAGCTTTATTTGTATCCGCAGGCATGGCCATGGCGGCACCACTCATCTGCTCCTGCATAATCCTCGACTGATCTGCACCTGTGGGAATTTCAATGTATAACAGAAACAATCAGAATCTACATATGCAAAAATAATTATATGAATGCAAAGCTGTTTAACCATAAATGAAAATACAGAATTCACCAAAGTCAAGGCTTAACTGATTTGTAAATATCACTGGCCATGATTCATTTCAAGCTAAAACTTAAAGCAAAACAACTCTCAGACTGTGTTTATTGAAATCAAGTACTATTTTCATGTTCACAACATAATGATAATGGAAACTAGCATTTATTAAAATAAAGAGCTCAAGCTCAATTAAACAATATCATTATAAGCGAATCAAATAACTACTTGTAGTATGACAGGGTTGCTATTATTGCTGAACCTTCTGAGAATCAGCTAAGTAGATAAAACATTCTCATGTTATCATCAAGACTGACAATCTGACGTGACAAAGCACACAAAATTATCTTAAAATGTGCTAAAATTACCATTATCTTGGCCAAGAATTAATGAGTACATGCTTCGTAGTCCAAACACGTTCAGAAAATACCATGACGCTGAGCTCACCCTAGATGGTAAATACAGAAAGAAACAAACAGAACAAATGACAAAGTCACACACTAACATTCTGAGATTAATACATAAATACTACTTCAGTACATCTTTACAGATCTTGTTTTATTAATTTACCAGGAAGCATCCAGTGACAACAGCTCAATTCCTTGCTGCAGCATGGGCTTGAAGCGAAGAGTTAGAGGGAAGGGAACCTTAGCTGTATGAGAGAGAGAACAGGAAGAACTGTAGAAAGAAATGTAGAATTTCCACGTGACCCATATCTTATCTGGTAGCAACACGAACTCAAAGTTGTTTTGGAGCATGCCACATTCTGCATGATAAGCTGCAAGGTCTGTGAGTGAGTAGGATTATTACTTGTTACAAATCCTGAAAAGGTCCAGTTGATCCAGCCTCCAATGAGGATCATGGGAAGCACGTTGGTGACATTGCCTTTCATCATGTCTGTCAGCATGCTGGGATCTGTGAAAAGATGCAACGAGCAACAAATTCACTTGCTATGGCTTGTAGGTTTGTTTTATTACAGTTATTCATACAGTATGGTTTAATAGTATGTTATCTTTCAAGATGATGTAGGGGGAGAAAAGACTCCTCCTGAAGTAACGGCATTAAATTCTGAAACATCGCTGTGGATTACAGTACCTAAAACTGCATCATGTACTTTACTTAAGATGATTACCTGTCATTGGAGAGGGTGGAACAACCTTTCTCTTGGTCTTCTTGAAAAATCCATCTTCTTGGTTATTGAAGTAGAACTTCCTCATCAAAAAGGACTAAAAGAAAGAGAGATCTTCAGTAACACTGTCTTACACACTGCACTTATACCAAATATATGCAAAAGCCAGTGGTTTTATATTTTGCATATTTTGTATATAGCAGACACTTACTTTCACATGAGTTTGAGAGAGTGAATGGAATAATTTATTTGATTAAGTTTATATGTATGAAATATAAAAATTCCTACCTGTTTGGGAATATATTTTCCATTTTCTCTGAGAATTCTGCTCCGAATAAGCACCTGGCTGGGTTGGGAGATGGAAAAACACATTCATATTAATTGTTTGTTTCTTTTTCCAAACAGAAAATCCACATCACAATTAAAGATTACCTGTCAGACACCTGCTCTAACGTCAACTTCTTGTCACTTTGAAGAAGAATAGAGACATAATGCCGTATCACCCCAACAAGGAAGGTGATGAAGACAATGGGTAACACCACCCAGAGTCGAATATTGGAGTCCAGCAGAAGCTCAGGCTCCGCCATTCAGCCTGATAGCAAAACTGAGGAGTCAAAGAAACAGCAAAGCCAGCGTTAGAGACATATTTTCAGCAGGCAGCAGGCAAGTTTAACACGGCTTTTGTTCGCTCCAAATGTTGAGGTAACGTTTTAACTAACGTGAGGCCGGTTTTGGTGACAGTTTGGTAAATTACCAGGAAGCCGTGTGTAGAGCTACGACTAAGCCTCGGAACAACAGAGGGATGGGCTGTCAATCCATTTAGCTAGCTAGCCAGCGTCATTTGGGTAACGTTAATCACAGACACCAAGCAAACGATTAACTTAATATCCTCTTAACAATGTGGAAATGATCAGTTTAAAAAAAAAAAAAAAAATTAGAAACATATGGACGTATGCAACTACCGCAGATGAATACAGCTGATGGTTATGGTTCGCCAATGTTAACGTTAGCCAGCTGGCTATCTTCTTCCTGATGCCCGGGTCACAGTCGGTGGGAACTGCGAATCGTCTTAGCGCAGTGACCACAACTTACAGCGTTCTTTTCCCTGCTGTGAAAGACGCAAATAATGCGCAGTGCGAGGTAGTTAAATGAATGAAACAATCTTTAACATTTCATATTCCCTTCCGCGGCCATTGCTCTGTGGTGTTGATTCTAGGGATGAGAGCAGTTTTCTGCTTCTACAGCTCATCCGCATCTCTGTCACTGGGACTGCAGCGCCACCCCGCGGTGATGGAGGTAGTGTTTGCTCGGGCCAGCCAGTGTCCCTCAGCCACTGATGGCCAGAGTGTGACAGCCACAGGTCCATGACAGTTGTGGCCCGGGGTAACGGCAAAGAGTTTCCATCTGTATTTCCCCAAATACAAAGTGAGGAAGAAATAATGTTCATCTTTAGAGTAAATGTATTTGCAATCAATAGGCTGATAATATTGATAAAAGACAGGAGGAATATCTAATTTATTTCTATTGTTCCTACATATGAAATAAAGAGAGAGCTTAACAGCAATTCTGTCTTCTGGAAGGTAATTCCATTGTCCAGAAATCAAAGTATTTTTTATTATTCTTTATAATCATAGATACACACAAAGGAATCAGAGGTAATGAAAGGCAGAGGATGAATGATAGATATTAGCAATACAGGGGCTAAAGGGTTATGTGATATTGAAACTAGCACAAAGATCAGTGAAAAGCTGAAACTCCAGAACTCTGCACCCTTACACTGTTGTATTCTTGTTTACAATTAACACAGACAGTTTGACTCATATATAGAGATTGTATATTGCTGTTCATTGTTGATTCTTATTTATTTTTCACCCTTCTTGTCTGTACGTAATAGTCCTGCTTTGTTTTCCCAGTTTTTATGTGTATGTCTGTACTATATCTACCAGTTGTTGGAACTGTCTGTAAGGTATATAAGTATAATGAGATCCACAAAGGCAAAATCCCTGTGTACATACTTGGCCAATAAAGATGATGATTCTGATATTAGAAAGGTCAAGACAATGTAAATCGTGTTATCCTTACTTATTACACTCCTGATCATTTGTTTGTCCACTGTGTTAAATATTTTGTTAGTAGTTAGACTAAAATATTGTGACTCTCTCCATTGTAAATCCTCCTGATCAGTAGATGGCGGTAGTGTGCACTGAATCTGTTTGCTAAAGGTCGTATAAAAAAAGAGGAATATTCGTCCATCGACAGACCGGAAGAAATGAAAAAAAACTTCTAGAAAGCCTGCTATTTGACCATTGCCAGATCCAGCAAGGTGTGTTATTAAAACGATATATAAAACGAAAGAGACGGTGATGTATTTCTTCATCCGGCTAACATAAGCTAAGTTATTTAAGGTCAGTACAGTGTCCATCAAACGTCATTTGCTAACATCATTTGCACGAAGCCAAAGTGGCCTGTTGTGCTAGCAAAGGGCTAAGGCTTGTTTCACATTGGAAAAACAATTTCCTGCACATTAAACGTCCAGCAGAGCAATTATTTTAGCTGCAGCTAACCACCATCCGAAACAGCCTACAACTGTTAGGTTTTCTTTGAGTCGTTTCAGGTCAGTGTTTCCAACAGCTGTGACCTCAGCCCTCCGTTTTCTAACGGCGTGTAACGCTAATGTAGAATTTTAAGCTTCTTTTCGAGCAACACGGTCACTGCAACAGTGTGGCTAAGTAGTAGTGGTAGTTGTCGTTGTTATTGTCTCTTATTAGGTGTCATCATTTCGCTTTGTTGTTTCTATGGGTTAATTAAAACAAATATCCATGACAAATCTGTTTTGTGACCAAATTTAGCTGCACAAATTCAAAATAATGTATCTGAAAACATTAATTTGTTGATGTCTATCAGTCTATTTTAAGCTTTGCACTGACTGATGCCAGATAACCTACTGACAGCTCTCTCTCCCCCGCCCCACAGAGTCCATTGATAAAAGATTAAACGTGTGTCCTCTACACTAAGCCATGGGAACTGATAAGAGGTAAAATAAAAGTGATCCAAAGAATTGGCACACATTCAGCGTTTTCATACAGTTATGTCACTGTCACACTCTTTTTATGTTTCTTTTTCAGGCCCAGTCGGGGTGAACGTAATGGAAGGTATGGTTCGGATGGGAGGAGAGATGATACAGAATGGCATGAAAGACGAAGTAGAGATGTGGAGAGGGATTATGACCGACGATGGAGTGATGATAGACACAGAGAGCGCTTTGATGAGCGCAGAGACAGTCCAGAGGTAAGTGGAAATAGGAACACCTCTGTAAGTTCATTTTAGTTTCACACCTGTAGCAGAAAAATGCAAAACATCTCGTTTCTAACTTCAATAAAAACAGCATCATTTCTGTCTCATTTGTCTGCATCAGAGGGGCCGAAAAAGACGCAACAGTGACAGATCTGATGATGAATATGATGGGGATTATCCAGACCAGGACTACAGAATGGAGCAGGAGGAGGAGAGCAAAACTATTATGTTAAGGGGTCTCTCTCTTCATGTCACAGAGGATGATGTAAGCTCGCAGTTCTCACTCAGTCTCACTCATACATTTTAAGGGTTAAGTCACACAGACTGTTGTTAGATAGGCTGAGCTGCTACCTCCCTCCTAATTGTTCAAGAGGAACAGAGGATCCCTTGGAGGAGGTGTGATGGGAGTACAGGTGGAGAGGGGCAGGCAGTCAGCTGTTAGGGCAACTTTCAAATGTATAAACTGACCTGGAATGGGTGTAAAATTATGAGTCACATCGAACATCCTTTGCAAATTTAAATATGTGTACATATGTGAAATCAGAGGCACCCCCTTGTGTGAAAACACTTGGTTTGGCATGACAATTTATCCACCATCAAGCAGCTGATTGTGGGAGGTGATGGTGGGAACTGGTGGGCCTCTGCATTCGGTCTGGTTTTACTGGAAGTTCTGTGGGACTGTTTGTAAAAATTTAGGTAATTTAAATTATTTTAGGAATTAACATCATGTCAACTGCTTTTCCTGTAATCCAGCTCACTTTATTAGGAGGAGGCAACTGACAGTTAATGACGAGCCAAAATAAAAAAGGAGAAATTGCATAAAGCTTGGGAATAATGCTAGCTTGATGTTATCGAAGCCATTTTTGTAAGGTTGTGAAAAGTTTTTTTTTTTTTTTTTTTTTTTTTTTTTTTTAAATGAGTCAAACAATGAGAAACAACTATAGTCAGATGAATTTAGTCAGAGATTTTTTTTCCAGATCCGCACGGCACTTGAGCAACTGCAGGGACCCCAACCTGTGGACATACGTTTGATGAAGAAAAGGACAGGTGAGTGTTGCTTTTCAAAGGCGTGTCTCAATTTCACCCACATACTCTGTCTTAAACCCCACTTTACCTCCTTTATGGCTATCCCTGAAAAAAAAGCCTCATATTGCAACCTTCAGAGGATCCTTTGTGTATGGAGGTAAGGAGGTAACTGTATTTACTATACCTCTGCCATTTTTGTAACAAGATTGCAAGCTATGGTAAACAAAATGCACTACCACCCCCTTGACCCTGTAAGCATCCTCCCCACTTTCGTTTTTACTTTGAATTGGACTGTACAAACCCATTGTGAGTTTGAATGTTGCACCAAAGCATTCTAACTAACACGCCTCCCGTCTATATTTGAATGCTGTCTCTAGGTATAAGCCGAGGTTTCGCCTTCGTGGAGTTTTATCACTTGCAAGATTCTACCCGATGGATGGAGACCAATCAGGTTGCCTCAACAATCACCAAGTCTAGAACTATTCTTGGAGATTAGAGCCCCAATTAGCTAATACCATGATGATGATACCAGTTTAAAGAGCTGAAATCTGTTTGTATTTAGTTAGAGGATACAAAACTGTGATATCAGAGGTAAATATTTTTGATATCACACACTTGGTTGATTCATTTTCTAAGTATACAGCAGCCCTTTCAGCTAAATGAAGACTGTTTCTGATGCTTAGTTTAGTGTATGTTTTGAATTCAGGATTGAATCACTGTACAAAGGTTTTTTCTTTTGGAAATGCAATGAAATCATTTGTGTTTTCTGGTAGAATTATTAACAGAAACACCATGTAGAATATATTTAGCACCTTAAGATTAAAAGGTCTTTTGCCTCTCCTTATCAAGAGTAGACTTTCTGTTAACAGAGTGGCCCAAATGGTCTTGTGGTTTCATAGCACATTCTGCTCCAGCTCAGTCACTTGGATATTTTCTCATCTCCATTTAAAATCCGAAGACTGGAGTGAGACAGGGACGAGCTGGCAGCACTCCGGTCCCAAACACTTAGAACCTTTTTTTTTTTTTTGAGAGGACTCATTCCCTCGTACACAGAATTGCAGCTTTCACTCTGAACTTCTCTTTCTACCTCTGTTCCTTTTTACTCCCTGACACACTCTACCTAAGCAGCGAGTGTAAGCCTAGCCACTCTTTCCCGTTCCAGCTGCTCTCACTCATGGGGTGGGGTAATGGCAGGACCTCACCTGCTTCTTTGGCTTAAATGTGTCAGAATTTGAAATGACTGGTGGCTTTTGACTTTCACAGAACAAGTTGGTGATCCAGGGGAAAAGCATTGCAGTGCACTACAGCAACAGGAGACAGAAGTTCGAGAACTGGCTTTGCAATGCCGTTAGTGTTTTTTCAAACTACATTATGATCCCAACATTTTGTTTTTTTTTGTTGTTGTTTTTTTCTGCTTTGTTATAATAAAAAATAAAAGATTGTCTTTGGTTTATTACAGTGTGGTCTGTACAATTTTCGGAAGAGGCTGAAGTGTTTCAGGTGTGGAGCAGCAAAAGTTGGTGAGTTGTTGCTTCAGCAAACTAAAATGATAATCTTTCTTCTTCTTCTCTATTAGAATCGTCAGCTCTACCCTGCACTGTGTTAGTGTCTTGTACTGACTGTTGTAACCTATGTGTCAATCTTTGTCATTGCTGAGTATAGAAGGAGAGTCTCCTGGAGTAAATGGTTTAAATGTAGAGTCAGCGCAGCCAGGAGATTACAATGGAGACAGTGAGTGTGTTTTTCACCACATATTGAAATATTCCCTCCACCCAGTGCACATATTCCACATTTATTCACCTCCAATCTTTTTGTTAACAGCAATCATTTTGAGGAACATCGCCCCCCTTTCAACTGTGGATGGCATTTTGAACATATTGGCCCCCTATGCCAACCTGTCTGCTGGCAACATCCGCCTTATCAAAGACAAGCAAACAGGACAGAACCGAGGCTTTGCCTTTGTCCAACTCTCCTCTCCCTTGGTATGTATGTACTCAGTATGTAGTCATCATGTGAGTCACTATGTTCCCTTTGGTGGTGTACGAGTGTGTGACAGTGTTGTTGTGTCTTTACTTTTAAAGGAGGCCTCTCAACTGCTTACCATTCTCCAGAGCCTTCAGCCACCTCTAAAACTCGATGGGAAAACAATCGGTGTGGATTATGCCAAGAGTGCTAGAAAGTGAGTCATCACACACACTGTTTGAGTTCATGTTAAGCTTTCTATAAATAAAAAATAGTATATAGAGTAAATTATTGGCACCCCGGAATTTTAAAGTAGGGAATTTAAAAATATCTTCAGAAACAATGCGAATGAACCAATTTTGTATAACTGTGATACTGTAGAAAAACATTTTTTATTGAACAACAACAACAAATGTTTTCATATCAAAAAGAATGCAGATATAACATTCATGCTGGACACAGTTATTGGCATCCTTTTGATGAATTTAATTTAGTTCATCAATCAAAATAAAAAAAAGACTGTTGTGCTTAATCTTCAGCATCAGAAATGCTATTATCAAATCAAAACAATTCCAAAGGCTACAAGGCAATTGCCAAACATCCTGAAATTCCTGTTTCAACAGTTCATAATGTTATCAAGAAGCTTCAAACTGTTACGAACACTGTACCTACAGTAAAACATGCTTTGCTGCCTCTAGTACTGGAGGCATTGAATGTGTCAATGGAATGATGAAATCTGAAGATTACTAATTGCATTACATTTCAGAGCGAAATGTGTGTCAGAAAATTAGGTTTGAGGTGAAGGTCTTTGGTGTTTCAGCAAAACAATGACCCAGAGCTCACATCCAGCAGCACAAAAGAATGGTTGAAAAGGAAAAGATGGACTACTTTTAAACTGGCCAGCAATGAGTCTTAACCTAAATTCCATTGAAAATCATTTTAATTTACTTATCAGAAGATATTCTGATTAATGTACTTGAAAATCAGGGTTGCCAACAATTTTGAACATGTCTGTATAAGCTCTTTTGGATCTACATAGTGTCAAACATGCTATACATATAATTTTTAAATGTTGTTTTTGTTGTCTACCTAGAATTAAATAAAATTGGTTCAGTTATCCTAAAATAAGGGACTCAGTTTCCTCCTGCTTGTGCAGCAATATTAAGGTTTAACTAATCGCTCTGTGTCCTTTCCAGAGACTCAGCACAGCCTGATGGGATCAGAGCCAGTGCTCTCTCTGTTGCCAGCACAGCCATTGCTGCTGCTCAGTGGTCATCCAGCCAGGTATCAGGGTTTTACTTGTGTTTGTTTCTTAGTCATTTAAATTTGTTGCCCTTAATACTATGAACTAATCCCCCAACTAAGTGGTGTGACATCAAAATAAGGCAAATAACACTTGTGGCCTATGCCTCCAAAAGGTTGTATGGATGTAAATATGTACAACAACTATGATTTTTTGGTGATTTGTCTTAATGAATGCAATGTTGGGAGAGAATTTACACGTAGTGCATTAAACTCGAGATAAATATATATACATATATATTGACTGTATATATATATATATATATACATGGCAAAGGCGACTGTGTGTGTTGTGTAGGAAGAGCTGGTATTGATCAGATGTCCCTACTGAGATGCAGGTTCTCATGATGAGAATGGGGGAAGAAAACTGTACACATACTGTAGCACTGAACACACTCTGAGTTGTATGTTTGGAAAGGATACACTTGATGACTGTTGACATCTACTGTACATCTCCTGTTCTCCTCACAAGGCTTAATACACTTATTGTACGACTTATTGTATGACAAAAGCATCTTCAAAATAAATGTAATTTAGCAATGACTGCAGAAAAACTGAATGAGAATTTTTTTAAAACACTAAATCAATTTACCCCCCGTGATGTAAAATGGCTTTTTTCCCCCGGCTTTCAGCTCAATATTTTAATTCACGAGTCATTATGGTTGAGTATCAGTGGCTCTCACCAACCATAGACTTAAATTTCTCATCAGCTGTTAAATAAAAGTCTGTTAGCGACTCTTCAGGAAAAATAGCTCCATCACCTTTTCTTCGTTGATATTTGTCATTCATTTATTTTGGCTCTCCTCTATTTCACACTGGACAAACACATACAGTTGGCTTGTGGAGGTGTGTTTGCTTGGCTGTCTAGGGTTTTATGTGGGAGCCAGAGAGACTGAAAATGGACTGGTGAATCAAAATAATGAGATGAAAGGACCTGAAAGCTACAAAAAACTGAAAAATGGAGTGTTGATTCTCAGTGGGATCATCAATATTAGAAACTGTGGACATTACTGTTGTCATTTGGTTCCTTCTCAATTAAGAGATACTGCTTAGTGGAGCTTCATGTGCAAGTTTTAATATTTGTTTTAACTGGGGTTCTTGTGTGTTGTTACTGATTTTGTTTTTTATCTGTTTAGTTACAACAAGGCTCAGGTGCCAGCTCTGACTACATCACTCTTCCAGAGGGCTTTGCACAGCAAACGCAGGTCAGTTCACAGTCTACTTTATTGTGACAGTGATTTTAATAAGGAATACCATTGGGAAAGACCAAACATTTTTTCTTCCTCTTCCTCATGTAGGGACAGAATTATCAAGTGTGGCAGCAGCAGGCGGAAGGATTGTCTCCTGTCGTCGGAGATGGATTGCTCGGAGGTAATAAGAGGCGTCGGTCTCTCACGAGATATTTTGGGTACTTTGGGAATTCGAAATTGTTAATTTTATCATTACTTTCCGCAGCTGCTCCAGGAATGAAGACTTTGATCCCTTCAGCCACTGGTGTGGTCATATCCCAGACGGCTCAGGTTTATCAACCTGTGATTATCAGCCAGCCTGCCATACAGGTAGACAGTGATGCGAGGTCAAATCTATATCCTGCAAACAGAACTACTCATTAATTATGCATCGCTCGGGTAATGTGTGATGGATGCAAAAGCTTATCATGATTTTTTTTCCCCCCCTCTTTCTCAGTCACATCAACTTGCGAGGGCGGTTGATGCCGTACAACAGGCTGCTAGTGTTAGCACTGCATCACTGGTGACACCAGCAGGTTCCACTGTTGCAACTACGGTTCCTGCTGCCCCGTCTGCTCCTACATCAGGTGAGACTAGAATATCTCCTCTTTATGTGTTTGAGTGCATCAACTTGAGATCAATTTCGAAAGCATGTTTTGTTTCACCTGCTTCTTTTGGTTTCTGTAGCTGACCCCGACTCCTCTACATACCAGTATGATGAGTCTTCAGGTTACTATTACGATCCACAGACTGGTCTGTACTATGATCCCGGCAGCCAAGTATGTACCCTGTGGTCTTACTGTATGTACAGAATACACTGCTAAACACTGTGAATTTGTAAGTAATTTCTTTTATCCAAAGCTGTTAGTTTATACAGTTTTTCTTATACTTGTCCTCAATAGTACTATTATAACTCCAAGACTCAGCAGTACCTCTACTGGGACAGTGAGAAGGAGACATACATCCCTGTGCCAGCAGACACACGCACAGAACAAGCATCCACAGCTAACACAGCAGCATGTTCCTCAGCCACAGTTGCCACAAGCAGTAAAGAGCCCAAAGAGAAAAAAGAGAAACCCAAAAGCAAGTCTGCACAGCAGGTAAATACTGCTTTAAAAAAAATCTAATTATCTGTTAATGACTATTATCTTGTCTTTGAGATGATATTGGCTGTTTGTCAAATTACAGATTGCGAAGGACATGGAACGCTGGGCAAAAAGCTTAAATAAGCAAAAAGAAACTTTTAAGAGCAGTTTCCAAGGCTTAGGACCATCTAAGGAGGAAGACAAGAAAGAGTCTGCTGCTGCCGATGCAGGTTTCTCCCTCTTTGAGAAAAAGGTAGTGTATGAGTCAGTATTACACCAAAGCACTGTCTGTTATGTGTTGACAAAGTATAAGTGCAATGGTGTACGAGAAGCTGCTGCTACAGACTGAGAGAGGTAATCTGGAAACACACACTGACACTGACGTCCAACATGATATACTTTGGATTTTCTGTGAAAGAAATTTCGAATCTCTCATTTCTTTTTTTTTTTTTCTTTGCAAACTATAGAAATCAACCTGGCCATCATTATAACTCATTTTTGTTCATGATTAACATAGAATGAGGTGCAGGCCTTAAAGTTGTGGACAGTTGATTATATTATACTTTAAATGATTGTATTTGTTGATTAGATTTGTTTCCTTTCAGCAAATGGGATGTTTTGAGATACCATCCCTCATGAATGAACAGTTCAAAATGCCAGAGCTGGAGACTTCCACTAAGGTTTGTTTGTCCCTTTGCCATTATTTCACCATGCCACAATTAATAATGAAAACAAATCCCACAACACTCCACTTGTATCCGCTTTCATATTACAGAGTGGTCTGGTTGCTGCTTACAACGGGGACAGCGACCCAGAGGAGGGCAGCTCAGATAGAGCAGCGGACGAGGAGGGAAAAATAACAGACTGGAAGAAGATGGTCTGTCTGCTGTGTCGACGGCAGTTCCCCACCAAAGAGGCTCTGCTGCGTCACCAGCAGCTCTCTGACCTCCACAAGGTGAGGATGGTAAAACAGCAGGCGTTTAATCTGCAAGTGGCTATGAATATTCTGGGCGCTGCCATCTGTTCAATGTATAAAGCTTCAAATCAGAATAGAAAGGTTATTATAGGTCTTTAACCGTTCTGAATATATATGCGAATAGGATATTTATTTTTGTTTACTCGTGAGTTCGGCGATTTTAAAGTTGCTTTCAATTGTAGCAAAATTTGGAAATTCAGAGAAGATCAAGACTTTCAGAAGCTGAGCTGGAGGAGCTGGAGAGGAAAGAGACTGAGGTATTTGGCTCATGAATTTTATTCCAGTGTTTGTCCTTCAGTAGTTTCACAAATGTGCACACAGTCAGTAAGGTTTCGTGGTCATTTTAACAGCTGAAATACAGAGACAGAGCTGCAGAGAGGAGGGAGAAGTATGGTGTTCCTGAACCTCCTGCACCTAAGAAGAAATTTTATCAACCTCCGACCCCAACAGTGTAAGTGTTTAACCTCACGCTCCAGACCCGTCAACTTTCAGATCACTGATTTTCCTTGAAGAAAATGGAACCTCTGTCAACATCTTTTTACATTAATGTCATCTCCTCTCATCCTTTAACAGAAACTATGAACAGCCAACCAAAGACGGCCTAACAAGTGATAATATTGGGAACAAAATGTTACAAGCCATGGGCTGGCAGGAGGGCAAAGGTCTGGGGCGCCACCAACAGGGCATCACTGCTCCTATCTCAGTGAGTAGGCCAACAATAATTCACTGCACTTTCTGTCAATTTTTCACACACTCTTCTCCCTAGCAGCTCCTAACAGATGGAATATACATGTCGGTGTGTTCTTTCTCACTCACAAAGCAATTAGCACCGTTACCTGAGGGGCACCTGTCTCCTCTAATAACTGTCTTTGTCTTCTCCCCACAGGCTTCATTAAGGACCAAGGGCACAGGCTTGGGTATTAAAGGAAGCTCATATGAACTCTCAGCATCTGACACCTACAAGGATGCTGTTCGTAAGGCCATGTTTGCACGCTTCACTGAGATAGAGTGAACTGGAGAGAGAGAAGTAATCACACTGAACTGTGAAATCCTAATTTTGTGGCCAAAAAATCTTACTGTGACAAGGAGAAAAGTTGATGTTTTTTTTATCTCCCTGTACAGTTTTGAACTGTAATTTATATCCTCTTAATGTATAAAGTGTAAAATGTAGGTTTGTTTAATATAGCTTGATATTTTGTCATCCAAATTATGTCATGTTGTATAAACTTGTACATTTGTTTTAATGTTAAAACATAGAATGATGTTGATCTGCTGAGGTTTCATGTTCGTGTGAGACTCTAAAAGAATCAGTGTGATCATTAAACCTGACATTTGTGTCACAAATACTTCTATAAAAGTTTTTTCTCCCTTTTGAACAAATGTCCTAGAAAGAATGTCATAGAAAATGGACAACTTGTCATTTATGCAACGTTACTTCATAATACTACAGATTATTGAATAATACAGTGCCCTGCAGCTTTTGCGTTACCATTCTTATGTTGTGAAAATAGGACTCAAATGCTTTTACTTTTGTAAGCAACAGAAATTTACCACGGTAGGTATACAGTAAAATTATTGCAAGTGCAGTTACTGAGCTGTTAAACCACAAACTAATGTGATTGGCATTAATGATCTCTTAGATCAATATTACGAGGTCAAAGTGGTCTGAGAACTTGAGAGCAAGCTGTCATTCTTACATATGACCTGACAGTGGATGGTTGTTCTTGTCAAGTTTCCATTTTCCAGTTCTAAATGCTTCCATACCACTATTAAAAATCCCTCTTAACCTAATGCACATCAATTCATTTCATGGTTAGAATCTGCAGGTTAAGCCTGTTTTTTTGTGACATTGATACAGGCGGAAAACAAGGAGGAAACATGATTTGAGAGGTTAAACCTTTTGGTATCCCCCAGACTGTACAGCCTCAGTCTCTACTGTGGTTTTATTGTACAGTACAGAAAAATAATCTAAAAAATATTTTGACTGAATATTTGTTGTTTTGATAAAAATATAACATCATTTAGTCTTTCTCTCAGCTACTACTAGACATGTTCCATTATTTGTGCCAGACGCCCTTTTGGCTGCCTTCATATCCTCTTTCCTGGGGCTCAGTGTGTAGCATGTTCCACCAGCTCTCGCCTCAGTGGGAATGTCAGTGTTTTTGAACATGCTCCACAGAACTTTGTGTCGTGTGTGTTTGGGTCATTCCACCTTTCTGCTTGTGAAACCACAGAGATAGGGTAGCTCCTGCCACCCTCTGCTGTGTGTACTTTTTTCTCCAGCCCTGTAAAGATAAATATCCAGAACGAGGTGGTTTATTTTTCCATGGGTAGATCTTATGTAGGTGAATTAAAAGTCATTTGTGGTGCCAGTATTAAGTTTCAGTGGATGTTTGAGAGACTTCATCATTGTGCTAGTTTTCTCTTTATCTCCTTTTTTTTAATGTGTTATTTAGATACTTGTGTTGTGTTTCAGCTGTTTTCAGTTTAAAAAAAAAATCACTCTCATTCTGACCACTAGGGGGCAATGTCAGTTTTTGAAGAAATTTCTTAAACCAGGAACAATTAAACATGATAAAATTACAAAAACACAAAAAATCTGTTATTATCCATAAACATATGAAACTTGGTTAGTTCATTTGTTTCTTAAACTTTCACTTTTATAAAGCCCACCAATGATGTTAAATATATTTTTATGCTGATCATTTGAGCGCCTTTTATGTATAATTGCTTGTCATATTAAATCTTCTCTTCCATCTTGCTGTGATTATCATCTGTGCTGCTGCTTGCATCAGCAGCCACCCTCACACCTGCCTGTCCCACACTGACATGATGTCCTCACTGCTGCTGGGCACAGGGTAGGGTAGGGTAGGGTGGGGTGGGGGCAAGGAGGGAATTAACCTCTGTGGCGTTGGGGTCATAATAAAACAGGCACAATCGTACAGGAAAAGGTTAATTTGAATCATTAAAATGTGTTTTTCCTGAGGAAATCCTCCCTGATTGCTGTGATCGGGATTCCATGCGTCATACTGGGTGGTTTGGAAAGGATCTCACCCAAGTCTCCTCTTGAGTGACATTCAAACTGTGCAGATTAACTTACTCTCTAGTAGCAGAATGACAGCTTTGATCTCCCTGTTGATTAATACTGTAGCACAAAATGAACTGTGCTCACTGTCTCACGGGGACACTTGTGAATGCCTACTCAGTTTTCGGCGTGGCACTGGCTCAGCTTACCAGAATCTGTGTCAGCTGACTAAGCCGTTTTGCATAACACAGTTGGTGGCCACACTTGTGCTGAATAAAATTTTGAGAGGATGAGGCTGGCACACGTACATCATGTCCCAAATGTATAGAGAATATGATACAAATAGGATTTCAGCTCATGCAGTCGCTTTATGACCAAGAAACAGCCTCATCTTCAGATACTGTATGTCCGAGGTTGAGGGTAAGATGCAGGGTTATTATTTTTAGGTTGAAACAATGGTCTTTGCCTCACGATGTAACATGATGCCTTTAAGCCATGCCTTTTACATTTCGCCTCTATAACAGACTGCAGAGCAACAAATCCTATCACCACAGTTTTTTCCCCGTTCTGATGTTTGATTGGATTAGTTGAAGCTCCTGATGGGAGTCTGCATGATTTTATGCATTGCACTGCTGCCACATCATTGACTGATTGGATAATTGCATGAATAAGCAGGTGTACAGGTGTAAGTAGAAAAGTGCTGGGTGAGTGGTGTTGTCCGCGCAGCTACAGAAAAGGAGGTATTTAAAACGAAAGCTTGAAAATTTGAAAAAGTATGTAATCATTGCAGCCTGATAATTTCGTGACGGACAATACCAGACAAATTTTAAAGAAATGTCTCATTAAATGAACAAGAGTCAAACAGGTTGCAATAAATGTTTAATGCGATTGGTTGTTCTAACCAATAATGTTGTCACTAAACATAATATTAAAGTTTTCTTTTATACTTTATGTAATTTTACAGCTAATTTTACAGCAGTGGTTACTTTCTTATTTCTGCAAGTATTTGATAGATTGTCCTCCACACCATATGACTATTAATAATACAGAACAGAATAACATTTTAGTCAAATCTGTAGTGGAAAACACTCTTGCATCCACTGCAGGATATATGGAGTTAATAGTTTCTGACACTCACCCATGATGAAGCAGAAAAATGAAATGTGGAAATAAATAGGATGATACATTTTATTACAACATGACAAGCAGTGACATGGAAAATTGAAGCTAAAAACAAGAACTGAAGAAGATCATAAGACATGCTGCAGAAAACAAAGGAAATTGCATGTGACTATACAAGTATGAGAGCAAGAGTGAAATTTAGTAATTTGGCATGGACATCTCTGTCCATTATATATCAACCTGTGATTTCATAGTATTTTGTTAGAGATGTATGTTCCCTGTTTATGTTTCTGGCTGTAATTCAAGCCTTTCTATTAATTAGCTGCAGTGATGTAGAGCTGAATCTTTGCTGGAGCCTGTTGACCCTACTCAGCTTATAATAAGGAGACGTCATAAGACTCCACACATTTGTCATGTTGGTGAGACTGGGCTGTTGTGTTTTGGGTTTGTAACTCATATTCCATGGAATATATTAGCTGTGTATGTACGCAAAGAGTTGCCGTGAATTCAGTCAGTCTTGTCAGTTTAAACAGGGAAGCTTTGTGTGTCGTACTGTCAGGTGGACTGTGATGAAGCCGCATTGATCCAAAGGACATACTGTACAGCATTGTGTTTGTCTACATCTGAAATGTTTGTGTTCCTTTCCTCAGGGATCTAAAAGGAAATACATCTAAGACTATACTTGGAACAAATACACAACAAACAGAAGAACCCACACTGGTAATACACTTGTCTCATGCAGGCAAGACGTTTAAAACTCTGGCCAGCTGTCCAAACAGACGAAAAGTGAATTCAATAACTGAGGAACTTATGATCCACACATTCATTTATTGGGAGTTTAGATGTATTATTAAATTTTAGCATTCATAAAATGAGGTATTTCCACTTTATTATTTACTTATTATTCCAAAAATATTTTGGATATTTCTCCCAAGGGGCCCTTAAGACAGCTTTCTGATAAAATCTGTGTAGAGACTTTAGGCTGAGCCTGAATATCATATTAACCAGCAAAGGTTGTACATAATTATATCTTATTTTTTCCATTGCTCATTTAGTCTGTTTTAAGATTGCACAGTATTCTCTGGTGTAATGCAGAAGAAATCTTAATGCAGCTGGCTCTCACATGTCAAATTTGGAAAGTTATTTTTTACTTATAATGTATTCTTTCTCTATACATGTGCTTTTGATCATCAACCTTATATTGCATATTTCCATATATGTTTGAATGGCTTGACTGCATCAGTACGGCCAGCTCTGTAATCACAAAAGTGAGCGAGTGAGCGAGTGAGTGAGTGATCGAGTGAGTGATCAATCGATCATATTTCCACCACGAGTTGCTGTTGCTTTTTCAAAATGAATTGGTGCCAATTGGGCCAACCCTGGACTCTTGTTATGGGCAGTCACTCTAACATGGTAAATGGAAGCAAATGAAAACAAGGCTTTGTACTAAAATACCAATGACCAATACATACAATACATATTAAACAGAGGGAATTTTAAATAAATTCCTGCCTCTAATATAAGCCTGCCTCAAATAAAGGCCTATTACCTTCTGCAGTCGTGGCAAATAACATCAGTTCCACAACAGTTTATAACTACGTCCTCAATTTTGCACATTGACCATACGTGGTCCAGCCATGTAGGTTTTGATCTAGTCTTGTTTATTTCTGTACATTTCATATCACATGCAGATTGTTCCACAAGTGTTTGTTCAGTCAATAAAACTAAGAGGCCACGCACAGTTCATACAGAGTTCATTTCTTTAGAAGGAGTTTCTTGTTTGGGACTTACTTTGTCACATGAGCCTTTCATCTTTCCTGTGGGTGCTGCAGGTTTATGGTGAACACAATGGTTCCCCAAGGCTATACCAAGCAGGAGTCAAAGGCATGAAATTCAATGAATGGTCTGTAGAAACCTGATGAACTTATAGAAGATGAGAGACTGTGAGAGATCCCTTAATAGTAGTTTCAGTGGAGTCACGGAGTGCAATCCAGTTGGGGACATATTTTGTCTTGAGTAAAAAGCACATGTAGCGATGATAACACTAGCAAGATGATCACAAGACCTTGTGTCACAAGCCCCGACTGCACAAAATGTTACATGTAATTGGTGTTATTAAAAGTATTTAAGTTATTAAAGATTAAAGATATTGAGAAGTTAAACAAGACTAAGAGTCTAGAGTCATGCTAGCAGCAGTGCTTTGAACTAAATGCTAATATACCTGCATGGTAAAATTTTTATCATGTTCACCATCCTAGTTCACAGTGTAATCATTCACTAATTCGCACTAAAGTAAAACTAATGTTGGGAATGTCATTACTTTTGCAACAAATATGGACATGTCATCTGGGGACCATGAATGTTCACATTAAATTCAAATTTCCAACTACAACTTTAGTTCAAGTTGAAGTTCAGAGCACGTCATACAAAAGCAATTTTGTATATTTTAACAAATTTCTTGGTAGCCAAAGGAAAATGACAGCAGAAGAGGTACATTTTCCAGCCTCAAAAGAATTTCATCTGAAAGAATTTCAGCGATTCTTAAATGTTTTGATCCACGTAAGGGACAAATTATTTACATTGCAAACTAAATCAGAGGTATTTTTGAAACTTTGATCCCAGAATGTGGTTTCTCTTCATCTTTGCTGCCTATTTTTCTTTACTCCGTTACTCCCTTCCCTCTTTGGGCCTCTGTGTGTCAGCTCCCTCTGTAATGGCAAGACTTCTCCTTCAGGGAATTCCTCCTGCAGAGAGGAATAATGCTCAGGACTTCTCTGTATCCTACAGAGCAGTGTGTGTGTGTGTGTGTGTGTGTGTGTGTGTGTGTGTGTGGGTGTGTGTGTGTGTGTGTGTGTGTGTGTGTTTCTTCTTTGATGGCAAAAGAGAAGCATGGGCAGGTGGCCCAATTATGTGTTTATGTGAGTAGGAGAGGAGACACTTTGTGAACTTTGATTGAAGTCTGGAGAGAATAACAAACAGCATTCCCCTGGTATGACAGATGTCTCCTCTCGATAAATGCTTCAGAAACTCCCTGACTACTCCAGCTTACTGTAGCATTATGTAACATTTACAGTCACTGACAGTATGCCGTCTTTTTTCAACAAATGCGTCTTATTGCCTGCTTGTGTTGCTGAAGTTCATTTAAAATATTCTATAATATGAAACAGGACAATGTTTCCTAAGTGATGATATCAGCTAATTAAATCAGTTTTCATGTCAAATGATTATCTCTTGAGTTGGGATTGTCAAACAAAAAATAACTTCAATGCTTAACTAAAAGATGACATGAAAAGTCCTAAAAGTCTCTACTGATGCTCACATAACAACAGGTCCATCTCCAAGACAAGCCTCTATTATTGAAAATAAAAACAATGTCTCAGTAAATGTTTTAATATCTGTAATTCTGCATGAAAATGCACTAGTGGGGGTGGATTTTAGGCTCAGTTTGACTACTTAAATTTTTTTTAAAAAATGGTGCATTACAAACCAAACAAATATTCATGAAGTGAAACCAGTGCTGATGTTGTAGAATAGAAAATTTGCAAAATCTGGTGAAAAGGCTGTTGACATACTGTATACGGTATGATGTGGATCATATTATTCTCTCCCTTATGATTTACTTGTTTTATTCATGTAAACAAACCTTATCAACTGAGCTGGCGTGTAATCTTCTCTAACACCTACAAACTGACTCATGCATATAGCCCCCAAGGCACCATGTCAAGTGTCGTCAGTGTTAGCTGATGTTCACACAGCATGAGTATGAGTCACCCCCACACTCGATTCACAAGGCATTAATAAACCTTCACCAAGCTGCCTATAGTCCTACATAAAGCACCATCTCACTCAAACCGGCTCTCAGGTAACTCCATAACCACATAATTTCCATGGCCATGAGTTGGCCATGCTGTGCTTTGGATAATCACACAGTGACTGCATTTCTTCCCCAAATGAAGAATGCACAGGGAGATTGACCTTAATTGAGTTTGATTGCAGCATCTTCCAACAGGGCTCAGCAAAATAAACTGAATGGGCTTAGTGGTCTGTGATGAGATCTTTTCTTCCTCTTTTTCCTAATTATGTGCATGGTGGGGGCTGTGGGGCTGTGGAGGATGGACAGGAGGCCACAAATCAAGCTCCATACGTGTGAGGGAAGCTACTTGGAAAAGACCCTTCTTCAAAAAAACAGGATTGTTCCAAATTTGATTCAAGGCAATCAAGGGAAGATTACACAGGCAGTTTTTCTTTTGGTGCAGGATGATAACTGGATAAAAGGATATCCGTGCAGTCTAAAAATAATAGGGTTGTTTTTTTTCTTTTAGATCTACCTTTTGAAATGTGTAAATCCACTTAAGTATTTACCACAGTTACCAAAGTTATAAGCTATTATACTGTTATGCAGGTTTGCCCTGACCTCCCAGAAGTCACAGGCTCCCATTGTTTCCAGAAATCCATTCAAAGCTGTTCACAGGGCTGTACTGCTTTGTTGATATAAAACCTTAGGTTCAATAGTGTGTGTATTGCAGTTTGTACAAAGATGACTTACTGCTTTTTTCCACGAATGTGCACCACTACATTCTTTTGAGAGCAAGCAAAAAATGAAACTGCTTTAGACCAACAAGTCATCATTGAGTTTTTGTGAACACGATTCTTGTTAAAAAATGTTATTTAAACCTGAAAGACTGCAGAAATGGATGGATGGATGAAACTTGAAGTTGAAACCAAACTAACTTTAAACAATTCATCTTCAGTGTTGGAACAAAAAGATTGTGTTGTAATGAGCATTTCAAAGGAGTGTGATGGTAATCTGTGTGGTAGCCAAGTTGAGAGAATATTTTTAAAGCAGAAATTTTAAAAAGCTACTTTCTTTCTGTCAGTAGTTAATAAATTGGATGTTACTTTCATAGGGTAAAATCATGATCTTTATGAACATTAATAATTTATGTCATCCTGCCAACTAACTGAAAGACAAACTACACATGTTTCTGACTGATTAAAATAAATGATGTATACCTGGCAGCAATACAAAGGTACAACGTGTCATCTCCATACAAAAACAGAAAGAATGCAGACAGCCAAAATTAGTTTTATTTTACCTTTTCTGCTCCTTTCAGTGGAAGTTCTTTGTATCCAAAATGAAGACTGCATGTTGTTAGGGATGACTGTGGAACAGCCCTGGGGATGAAATGTAGGTCTGCCAGTTGGTCTGCCAGTACGGTCTAGACACTAAAATAACTCAAAAACTACTGGATAGATTACGATGAAATTTTTTTACATACATTCATGGTGCCCAAGGTATGAATAGTAATCATCTCCTGACCTTTTCAGCTAGCACCATCATCTGGTAAAATTTCTTTGTCCAATACTTGGATTTAAATAAAAATCAAGACATTCCCACCAGTTGTTTTTGGTGCTATTTAGCAAACGTTAGCATGCTGTCACGCTAAAACAAATATGGTTAACATGTTAACATGTTGTGTATTTCATTTCATCCTCCACTGTTTTTAGAGTGTCACCAATTTCAGTGCAGTTACTTGAATGAATTAGCTCATGTACCGGCCCAGTCTGTAGACGTATACCCTGGCATATGATTCATGAGCTAAAATACATTAATTGCTACCACACTTTGTGAGTGATTTAGTATCTCTGCTCGGTGGTCATCTAACTTGTGCTGCAGACCTTTGTTACACCCAGTTTCTATGGATACACCTTGCAGTGCACTGCTCTTTGCAGTCAGAAAGTCCTCTGGAGCGCTGCACATGCATCACCTTTTTAAACTGACAGATGAGGCAAGGCTTGGCTCATACACACCATTAAAAGAAGAGCAGGGGGAGTTCATACAGCTGAATGAAAATGCTGTGCCTCCAGAACCAGTTGCCAGATGTCCTTCGCATTTACCCTCTCCTCTTCATTAGTTGACAGCGCTTAAATTAGCACACTAACGTGTTATTTGTGAATAGAGGAAAACCAGGGGACAGTGTTCTGGAATTAAACTGCAGATTAAAGCGCATGCCTTCATGCACTTGAGATTCTATGAACTATAGCATACATCTGTTGAGCTCCTCTGCTGACCTCTGGGATGCACAAGCCTCTTTCTCAGCATCTCTAGCCCTTTCCTCTATGGGTAGCCATTCCCCACTGGGTCAACCTCAAGAGAAGATGCTGAGCTTATCTGTCCCAGATGGTTAAATGTCCCCTGCTTTCCACAAGGTCAGGTTTGCTGTGACAGCTTTAAAGGAAACTGTGGTTGCTGGTTAAGAGCCTTGTATTTGTGGGAGAGAACTGAATCTAGCAGCTCCCAATTTCAAATAAATGGGGGGAAGATACATAATAAATAGAACTGCAAATACAGGTAAAGTGTATAGTTGTGTGTGTGTTGGGTAATGACCTACAAAAATGAGCTATGGGAAATGTGTGTTTGGCTCTATTTGTCACCCCCCATGAATGCGCACAGGTAATTCTACTGCAGGTATGTGTCTTCCTCGGTGCACACGAGCTAGAAGAGAGAAAAGAAACGATCCCCGGAGCGCTGTGACATCAAAACGCGCTGCCGCTGATGACCTAGAAATGAAGCTTGCGTATCCATGTGCGTAAGCAACAGTGGGCTTTGGTGGCACATGGCTCTGGCAGCTGTTTACGTTGTTGATTGCGTGTTATGAAAAAACACTTCGGCTGTATTGCTTTTTCTTAAAGGTCCGCGTTAGTTATTTTAGGTCTATTTTTGGAACCATTCTAAGGGGAATAAAAAAAAGAGAAGAAAAGCATGCAAGGCGTGTGTTTGAGTGGTCTCCTCGCGGTCATTCACTGCCTCATTGTCTGATAATGCGCGCTCAAGCACGACGATAAATCCATGAACATGAAATATACCCCGACACCATCACCGTGTGAAATAGCAGTTACATTGCCCGCGTTGTGGAAAGCAGCGGAAACGACCTTTTAACCGGGTTATGATATCAATCTAACGCCAGTCATCATTCCCAAAACGATTAAAAAGGCGCGTGCCAAAGAAGAGGGCTCTCGTGTCCCTGCGCGGCGAGCTCGGGCTTCGCAGCAGAACATACAACAATGATTTGATTGGAGTCGCCGTGCGTGAGGTGCGGTAGGCGGAACCCGGGAACTCTTAACATCCCACTTTTGAGAAGATTACGAGGACAGTTCACAGGGAAACACATGACATTAACGCCGTTTGGAAGGAAGGCGGACGGACGTAGCGGGGCAGAGGCAGGACGAGACGACACGGCAGCCGAGCACTGAGCGGAGGCAAGGTCTGTGTGGAGCTATCTGGAGTTGGAGGAGGACACTGGTACTTCTCTGGTAAGGCACTGAAAACGTTATAACATTCATGTGTAGCCCTTGTAACGCATTTAAACTCATTATTTTCTTGTAGCCTATATGTATAGCTATATAATATTTTATAGATACGTGGAGCTAAATAGTATAATTAATTTTAATAAAAAACAAAACGACGCTCTTTGTACGTGTAGCCTATGTGCAGCATCAGTCTGCTTGCCAAGTCCGTGTGTAACATTTACCAATCTTGAGTTAGCTAAATGTAAGGTAAAAGGCAGTCGAGATATCGCGTGGTTGTGTCATTTAAGCGACATGAAAGGTCCTCGGTCCAGCTGTAGAGAGAGATGACATTACAAACGTGTCACACTTGGTCCTCATATGTAGCTTGGTACCCTACTATTGAGATTCAGTGCCCCCTACTTTGGATTACACAGCCTCCTTTTGTTAAGTACTTTCTTTCTTGGGGCTTATGTGAAAATCTGCAGGAATGATTTTGTGCACAACTGGATAAATCTTTACTCTGTACCCGAGAGGATAACTGAGTGAAGCCTCTGATTAAAACAGTTATCCCAGTTGTCACCCTCCTCACTACCATGATCAAGTGGCGTGGCTTAGTAAGCTCAAGCTTGACCATTGGAGGGACTTGCTAGAAGCTCCTCCATGACCCTGTTGACTCCTACACCCTTCTCAGTGCACCACTGCTGCTTAATGTGTGTTTTTTTTCATTTAATTTTTTAAATGGCCACTGTATACTTTAAACCCAAACAAACTCTATCCTGTGCAGGTATATTTTTGAGGGCTAGGAATGGCATTGTAAAGCCTGTTTGAAACATTCAGTGGCTACCATGCATGGATTTTGCAGATTCTCTACACAGCTTAATTTTTGGATTGCCTGTCATATTTTTAAGTCGTGCAGGCGGAGCATTCACAGCTGGCTCACACCACGTCACAGCTTGGCTACAGGTGCCATCTGGTCTTCCTGTTTGGTGATCTTGCCTATTCTGAGGGATATATTCAAGCTTTTGATTAGATGCTGACTGAAAGGGGTAAAGCATCTGCATTACTTTTGGTCTGATTCAAGGCAATACATTTAAGTACTGTCTTTTCTAACATGCACATACTTAACCAGATTTCTCACAAAGGCACACTGTAATGGTCCATATGCATCCATAGAATCACATTTAACAAATGTATTTATCCATCCTGCTAGGCTAGGTGCAAAAAACTGGACAACAGTGTAGTTTTTGGAGTCACCTGCAGCAGACAAAGTCCCCAGTCATTCTCTCTTCCAACGATGAGTCACCTCAAGGGCTTGTGGGCAGCAGGTGAGACTGTGACTGCTGGACTTGACAGGCTGGAGCAGACGAGAGCTCATGTCTGGCCCGCTTGGCCTCTGCTGTTAGAATTGACTGCCCCTCTGTATGGCTTGTCATTGGCTTCTCCTGTCTCTTCTCTTCTTCACTATTGGATCAGACATAGACACAGAAATTCACTAAGTTCCTGTAAAATTAGATTAAAGCTCTTTGTCTTCGTAAAATATATATTCTCATCCAGCTGCATTATTGGTTTACCTTTGCAGGAATGAAAAAAAAACTTAACAAGTTTGTTCAGTCTTAGGGTGCAACATAGTTCAGTGTGAGAATAAAGGAGCACCCTGCTGTGTCTTTGTCGATGGAATGAAACTATGAAGGGACATGAGCCTGTCTGGCATTAAAGTATTGCAGGGATTTGATTTTGGTCTTTAAAAATGTAAACTGAAGTATTTGATCAACCCAGTGGTTCTCAAGTTTCCTCTAGCATGCCCCTCTTCAGAATCCAAAAAACCTCAGCCCCCCCACTCCCACCCACACCCCATAATTTCTATCAATCATTAACAATAATAGGGGAGATAACTAATAAAAAGGATCCATGTTGAATTATAGTGAAATAAAGGTCAGCACGATAGCATCAATTAACTCTTGTTGGTTTGTTTTCCCTACATAACTCATACTCATTCAACTTAGTTTCACTAATACTTTTCCCCTGGTCATCCACGCCCGCTTGCATTGGCTCTTTGCCTCCCCAGGGGGAGCCTACCCTCCAATTTGAGAACCATTGACTAAACCCTTTTCTCTCTCTAGGTACAAAAAGACAATGCTGTATTTGCAGAGTGAAAGACATATAAAAGCTGAAAAGGATTGGATAATGATGTGATGTGTTTTGTGCACATGTTCTGTAGCTTTAGCTCTCAACCGTGTGTTTACATACAGTACAATACTGACTTCAGTCTGGTACTTTCTAGACATAAGGTATATACTGTATCGCTTTGAGGGCAAACAGGTGCTTATGTTTTTACTAGTCATATTGCAGTATTTCTACACTTTCTAAGTGCAGACTGGCTTAATGAACAACTCGTGCTATTTGAGGATGTACTGATGGATATCATAGATGAACTGCAGCTTGCATAAGGTCAAACTACTCGGGATAAATGCCAGCCTGTTGGTCAGGTGGGCTCTAAGTAGGAGTAAATTATTATACCAGGGCTGTAACCATGAAGTATTTGGGGGACAAAATTACACTTATGGAAACAGCTGCCTGTTTAACATTGGCATGCATGTCCTGGCCGAAGTGAAGTGTTATTATTGGTTATACTGATGTTGCAATAATTGACCCATAAGTGTCCCATGAACAACTGATGGCAACATTAACGGATCCTATTCATGCAATGCTAGCAAGTGCATGGAACGTATGCTAACAAGTTAACGTTCTGATGGGAATTTAGCATAATATTGAAAGACAACCATTAACCATTCAGAAAAATATAATTTTTACAACACTTTACAAAAATATTACATATCATATTAGATTCGAGTTTTGCACTGTACAGTGTTTGACACTGATTTTACCTACCCCCAGCAGTCAAGCAACGGCTTCTGCTGGGATACGGCACTCCATAATAATAGAACCAGCAGTAATAATGATGCCAATCTGTTAAGTTGTGATTATAATTACAGACAGTGGTGCGTGGTTGCCTGTTGTAGTATAGCAATTTTTTATTTCTATTTTTATGTTGAAATATTGGGGGAGACATTTTGAGCATATTGGAATATGGGGTAATGCATCAACCCTCAGTATTATAATTACGGCACTGTATTATACCCTTGACACTATCCTGTCCAGTAATCAGCAGTAGATGGAGAAGAGGCTCAAATCCATGTCTTATGGGAACAGCTGCCTGTTTAATTGAAACTTTATATTGGCTGAAATCCATGCCCTATATTATCTGGGTCTGACTGCATGTATAACAAGACTAGGTCAAAACCTAGCACATGTCTGGACCACCTCGTAAGCTATTTGGATTCTGCCTAGTGTCAGTCAGTTTCAGCCTATTATCTGTTTGTCTCTCTCCTACTCTCTGTGCTCACACATACAGTATTATGATAGAGATGAATTTCCAATAAAGCTGTTCTTTTTTACATGTTTTTTTCTGTTCCCATTGTCAGACAAGGGAACAAGTATGAAATAGTGACTGAAACTCGGACCATTAAGACTACATGTTAACTTCCAAGCTGCTGCTCTGCACTGCTAAAATCCTGATGTTATAACCGTGGTGTCGTCTGACAAAATCACCATTCACGTAACAACAATGGCTGTGCTGTCATTTTGGCTATATTTAATTGTAAAATAATGACTCAAAGGGAAAGTTAGAAGCAACAGAATATTTGGGTATTTTCACATATAATCTTTTTTAAATTAACCAAACTCAGTCCTGTTAAAGTGAACCAACAGAAAAGAGACTTTTTTTACGTTGTGAGTTCATTTGAAAGAGGACTCAGCTCTCATTATGGTCCACTTCAACTCTGATGGAGCCTCAGTCCTCTTTCTGTTCACACTACAGATATCAGACCTTTACTGCTTTGGATTATGGGTAGCTTTCACCTGGAACAAGGTGGCTGCACTTCTTTATTATCATTAACAAAGTACAACCTGATGAGAGAAAGAGTGTGTATGTGTGAGTGTGTGTGTGAGCGATAGAGAGAGAGAGAGAAGGGGGAGGTAGTACACAGTTGCCATTTGATGTGTTCATTGTATATCTGGAGAAGTACAGTAGTTATTTCCTCGGACCAAACTAATCTTCGTCCACCCGTCTTGCTGTTTTTACCAGCGGTCATGCTTGCATCTATATGATTTTTCATGTGTCTCAGTGCAACAGCATGTGATTTGTCATACAATGGCAAATGCGAAGCAAACCTGGAGTGCTTTGTGTTCACAATGCACAGGTTAAGCGAACCGCAACACAGACTTGAAGTGCACGTCAAGAGGTGGTTTCAGTCGATGACACTGCAGGCTGTAAACGCCCCCTAATAGAACCTGTTTGTGTCAATTCATTTTCAAAGAGCAGCGACCAATGGAAATCTCTTCCTCAGTCACATGGCATTCAGCTGACCAACAATGGAATTATGACCACTCGGTTAGTCAGTCAGTCAGTCAGTCAGTCAGTCAGTCAGTAAGTCCATGCTGTTGCAGTTTAGCCAGAAATATCTACTATTTTTTCTCTGTAATACAAAGCAATGTTAACTTGGAAGCACAGGATGCATATCTATGAGTTGTGAGCAAGCAGCAACCTCCAGGGCTGAAAAATGAAGCCAACACATAAGTGCCAAAAACCGCAGCTTCTCAAATGGCCACTAGAGGCTGGCTCCCAGAGTGAGTCAAACCCCATAGACTCTCATGTTAAAATGCCCAACTTTACAGCAAAAATAAACATGTTTATAGCCTTGTACAAAAAATGGTTTTGGTCTAATGTCCCCCTTCATGACCAACTTTAGGGGGTGAATGTTTTATGTAACTCACCCTTTTAAATTTTATTAAGGCTTAAAGTTCTGCATAATTGAGTGTGTGCTGGTTTGAGAATGAGCAGCCCACTATGATTTACAAAACTGCTCTTACAGAACCTATGGGTGACGTCAAGGAGGCTACGTCCATCTTTAAATACTGTTTATAGTTGTGAGCAGTTCAATAAAAACGTTTTACAGCTTGAGGAG